CTCTCTCTCTCTCTCTCTCTCTCTCTCTCTCTCTCTCTCTCTCTCTCTCTCTCTCTCTCTCTCTCTCTCTCTCTCTCTCTCTCTCTCTCAGCTTCCGCACGCTCCCGCGCAGCTCCCCCACACGCTCCCCCGCAGCTCCCGCACGCACACACACACGCACACTGTGTGTCTGAAATTGGATTTAACGTGGGTTTCGCGTTGAAAAATTCAACGCGCGTTGAATTCCCGTTCAATCCCCGTTTGAACGCGCGTTGGATGGGGAAAAACGGGTTCCGCAATGATTTGTTTCCTAGGCTAAACATAATCGGGAAAAAAAAAAAAAAAAAAAGCGGGTCGAGATCTTTTTGAGGTCTACGACCCTATATTTTTATTTTTATTTTTTGAGCTTTTAATATATTTTAAAAAAAAATAAAAAACATAAGCACAATGAAAAAATCAAAACAAGAAATGACATGAGTCTTTTTTTTTTTGGGTTTCACAGAGATTTTTTAAGGGCTAAAACAAAAACAGAAGAAAAAAAATAAAAAATATAGGGTTGTAGATCTTTCAAAGATGTACAACAAAATATTCTTTCTTGTTTTTTTTTTAATAACCTCGTGTATTTTTAAAAAAATCAAAACCATAAACAACATATTTTTTGGCCTGCATTGCGTAGGTAATCTTGCTGGGTAGACTCCCTGTTGGGTAGACTCCCTGATTTGGCCTGCTGCGTTCATTGTTGTTGTAACCACCACCATGGGATCATTTGTGATCTGATGGCTGGGAAGCACTCTGCCGTTATTTCCAGTGGGAGGTGTCTGTTTTTTTTTTTTTTTTTTAGCCTTTCTTCTGTTTTCTCAACCCAGAAACTCGTAATGAACCTGTCAGGCCGCTGCCACTCGGTGTCACACTGGATCGGCCACACTCCAATCCGTCTGCTAATGGGACCATGCCCCTGGGGTGTGGTCCCATTAGCAGTCCGATAGAAGCGTGGCCGATCCAGTGTGATACTAGGTGGGAGCGGCCAGACAGGTTTATTACGAATTTCTGGGCTGAGAAAACAGGAGAAAGACCCAAAAAAGAAAAAAAATCAGAGACCTCCCGCCGGAAGTCACCGCAGAGTGCTTCCTAGCCATCAGATCACAAATGATCTGATGGTGGTGGTTGCAAAAACAGTGAACAAAGTAACCGCCAGCTATGTGTCTATTCAACGGGCAACGGGAAAGTTTCAACTCCGTTGTACCCGTCGAATAGCCTCCGGAGCCCCGTTGAATTCCCGTTGAATGGTACAACGGGCCCTCACCGTTGAATATTGTTCAACGGGGAGGGTGCATTGGGCCTCGGACACGACGCTGGACGCACGTGAACCAAAAACAAAATCGCCCCGTTGAATCCCCGTTGAATCCCCGTTGAATCTCGTTGAATCCCGTTAAATCACCGTTGAATCCCGTTGGGGAAAAAAAACAGACATCATCCAAAAATTCCGGGGAAAAAAGTATGTTATGCAGAAAAATAAACTGAACAACTTTTGCCTCAGGGTCACATTAAAAATCTTCACCAATTTTAAAATAAAATATAAAATATAAAAATAAGTTTTTTTTTTTTTTTTT